TCCGCTTAATCCACTTGATCTGCTTGATCCGCTTCATCACTGGTCAAGGCAATGAAGTGGCCAGTGGTGAAGGGAAGAAGCGGATCAAGCGGACAAACGCTTCGCGATTGGTCAATTCGCTGTGGACCAATGATGAAGCGGATCAAGCGGATCAAGTATGGAGCGTGCCTAAGACGACTATTCAAACAGTCCAAGCTCACGATGAAAAACTTCAGCATTGCTCTTAGCACACTCTGCATATACCACTCAAGTGCTCAGACAATGTACAAGGGACTTTAGCGATAAAAAATGAAGTGCAGAGAAACGCCAGGCTCACCGATTCTTGCTGATCGATTGGAAGATTGGAACAAAATCTTCGAATGAAAGACGTGCCTCTTTCTCGTAACTCCCGCAACATCGGCTAATCTCCGCTTCTGTGGGATTCTGGCCGAGAGCTCGAAGCACATCACCTACCTAAATGAATCGAGTTGAGCAACTTGTGTGCCTGTGCACCTTGCAAAAGCAGAAAAAAGTTTTGAAAACCCCTGAAGCATCATGTAACAAGCGACGGGATGCTCCACGTACATTGAAGACTCGTATAAAGTGAGATCCACCATTGCTAAACCGGAAGTAAAAAAAACAATGAAAAAATATGTCCTCACGTAAGTTATTCTATAAAGAACACTAGCAGCACAACAGCATCATCGCGAAAATAAAAGTTTGCCATGTCACAACCGAATGAGCTATAGGCAATTCATCACACGCAGGTGGACTCCGTTGCGTCCGATTAGGATAGTCAGTGTCTGTGAGAGACAGCAGACGGCTAGAGGAATGCAAATGCGTTTGATTTGAGAGACGCAGACAGTGTCCGCAATGGCGTCTAGTCTCTGCGTGCGACTAATGCACTGTATACGCGAATTTGTTGAAAATGGGGATTATACAATGATCAGCATCCCGAATATTGCGAGATATACTTCCTTACCCAAAAGCTACGAATTATATTAGATAAATCAAAATAAATGCACCTACAAATTGGATAAACGCGATTTATGCTATAGAATGCAAATGATTTGAACAAACACCATACCTGTTGGACACTGATTTTCTCATCTCCCCTACTATCGAAGTAACAAAATACTTCGCGACAGTCAGCCAGCTGATCATCCATTGCGCTCACCATTAACTAAATATGATATTTATATGTATGCGGATAAGGAAAATCTTTAGCTGAATTAAGCAAAAATAGAGACCGAATCGGTTTAACCGATCGAAAATAAAAACATTGTATGATACACATTCATTTGTCGCACTTCAGGATACATAGATACTTCATGCAAATACTCTAGGATTGAATCTTAGTGATCAGATCTACACAACAAGTGAATAAGTACGCAACAATCGATGGGATCCGACGGAATATGCGAGCAATGTGTCGCACGACTGTTCGCGCCAGCGCTGACTCATCTGCACCCTCCGCGACATCACGGTGTCGTTCACTTATCCGTCGGCCCCATCTTGAGCGTTACACGCGTTCCTTCTTATAAGCATAGAAGTTTTAGTGATAGGCATATGCTATCGTATACAACATATACAATTTTCGAAAATAAAGTGTGCCAATAGCAACAGGAATACAAAAAAATCAAAAAACATCATTGATTCCGCCGACAAGAAACGATACTTCCAAACCTTCTCGTCGCAACGTAAATTCAGCGTAACGATCGGAGACGACATCTGAAAAAAGGAATCACAGTCACGAAGTAAAATGCAAAACGCAGAGTCAAACGCTATGTCACGAACAAGTTTCCATTGATAGGCGCTACTAGACACTAAACCGACTGTTCCCACCTCGTTAGCGGGATAGTCATCAAGATCTGCCTTCTTACGATCAAGTTATTTATATGAGTTATAAAAATGTG